GGCCAGAGCATGCAGAAAGCTTCCTTCCCAGATCAATACCAATCCATCAACTCCTGCAGTGATAGGGCGAAAAGTGGCCATTGATGGCAAGAAGCCTGACCAACCAAGACAACAAACAACAAATCATGCTCGCCCCCACCATGGCTGCACAGCCCCCCCTGGCCCCAGATGCCAACCAGCTTGGCCTTGTTCTGCACAGGGACAGTCTCCACCCCCATCTGTGTCCTTGCTGTCGAGGGCCTGTTATCACCTCCTTGGGGAGCAGCCCCTGACCACCCCATACTCTGTCAACCATGCCACTATGCTTCATTTTAACAGATGTGCAGCTTTAAGGCTCCAGACTCTCTTGGGAAGTCAAGGGCAAGAGAGGTAGAAAGGACCAGCTGGCTATCGAGGAATCTGTTAAGATTTTCCCCAATGGAATCAGAAACAACTCTCCTCCCTGGGCTTTCAGCACCCTTCTCACACATCCTGACTCTTCTGGTCCCCCTCACAGGACTCTGACATAGGGTCACCCTGACATAGTCCTTTGTGCTGGTATTAGAAACAGTGAGATTGCTTACTGTGGAAGGGTGTACCCGCCAGAGTAGACTAGGATATAGCATGGTAACAAGCATCCCTCCAATCTCAGTGGCTTCACACAGGTTTATTTCTCAGGCTACATGTCATGTCACCTGTGAGGGGTCACCTGGGGCCTCTGTTCCTTTTAGTCACACAGAAGCCTCAGGCTCCATGGTGGAAGGGAAGAACCAGGACTCCCACAGGCATTCCAGAGCACTGGCTATCCTGGCCACAAAGCCCAGCTATTGTTTATCATCTAAATGTCTGTTGCAGTGCTGGGCAGAGGCTGGCAGAGAATATAGGCCACGGATGGCCTTTGTCTTGGAGAGAGCTCGGAGCTACTTCCTAAAAACTCCCAGCCTTTCCAGTCCTAGTGTGAGGCCAGTGTTCCAGGCACAAGGGTAGACCTGCCAGGGAGATAGATGTGTGACTTAATAGGTCACTCCGGGCAAGGTTTGCAAAGGCCGCTAAGAAGATAGGAGCCCATGGGGGCTACTGTGGCTGTGCGGCCAGCCACTTTCTTCTCTGGGATAGAACAAGTCAAATGGGACTTACCATGTGGAAAGAGGAAGAAATTCTTCAGCTACCCGCCTAGTCATTAAATGGGAATGTGATGTTTCTTTTCTGGTGGTGAAATAATAAAAGGACGCAGACTACCCCTTCCACCCCACCAGCCACGGCTGGGCAGAGAAGCCCACAAAGCAGGCTGAGAAGAATCCATGGTACCTGCCCCCGCAGGCTCCCAGATGTGGCTGGCTGCCACAGTGACCTCCTCCCATCAGGAACATGACAAAGGTGACAGGTTACCCCACAGCACAAATGCTTGCCCTTTTAGGGCTCAGAAGACTTCATGCCAGGGTTGTCTGTGAAAGAGGTGCCCCAAAGGTCACCCCAGCCCTGGGGTTGGGGGTCCTCTGAGCAAGACTCAAAATCTGGAAAGGGTGAAGGGCAGGAGTAGGTGGTGGGTACCGTGCCATCACTCCTGAGATGCTGACTTTGGGGAAAGAATCCTTGAATTAAGCAGCGGCCCTGCTGAAGCTAAGCGGACTGGAAGTTCATCCTTTGTTTCTCTGCTGCCTGGTACTCTCCCACTCAGCTGGGGCAAGTAGGGCTGCTTCTGGGTCAGCTGGGAAGAACGCTACCTTATCAGCTCGGTGTTTTCTGCAGTCCTGCAGAGAAGTAGCTGGGTAGATAACACAGGACAGTGGATAATACACACAGAATTTCCGTTTGGCTATGGAATGTGTATTCACACTGAGCAGGCAAGAGGGCGCTCAGAACCCCCCCTTGCTGCAACGCCACATCCTGCTCTGCCTGGCACGGCGCTCTTCCTGGCTGTGTTGCTGATATCTCTGGCCCGAACAGGCTGCAGGTGGTGATAGAGTCTCATGTTTGGATGACCTTTCCCAAGCTCGCAGAGCCCTTTTGCAGACATGATCTCATCTGAGCCCCATGAACCAGGCAGGGAGGAGAGATACTCGTGTTACACAGAAGGTTACAACATTAGCTACCATCTGCCAAGTTCCTGCCAGGATGGGTGCTCTGCAGTCACTGTGCATCTGTTCGCCTGTGTAAAATCTAGCACGGTTGGAAAAGGCAGGCACATTGTTAGACTCATGAGCTAAGGTTCAGGGGAGATGAAGTCTACCTGAGGTCACACAGCTAGAAGGAGACAGAGCCTGAGGTCAGCGCAGGAGCCAGCATAGCACCACCTCCCATGCTTGAGCTGCCAGCCTGATGGCCCCATGGTGCAGCCGGGGCTAAACCCACCTCCAGGGCAGTTCCTCTCCTCCTGGTAGCCTCACCACGATGGATAAGCGGACAATGGGGAAAAAATGGGAAAGAGCTTTTCACATCACCAATGACACTGACTTAGCATTTGTCTCTCCCTAGAGGGTGACGGGCTGCATCCTCTCCAACGTCAACACACCTTCCATGACACCTGTGATCGGACAGACCCAGAATGAGACCCCCCAGCCCATCTACCAGAACAACAACGTGCCCACCAAGCCCACTGCAGGTAGGGGAACGTTGTCGCAGTGATTCCCAAATGTTAGAATCACCTGGAGGGCTTGTTAACATACTGGTTGCTGAGACCACCCCAGAATTTGATTCAGTAGTTCAGGGAGAGGGAGGAGGATTTGTATTTTTAATAAAGTAATGCAGATGCATTAAAGTAATGCAGAGACCAAACTTTGTATTAAAGGTTTTATTCTATTTTGTTTTATTGAGACAGAGTCTTATTCTTGTCTCCCGGGGTAGAGTGTTGTGGTGCCATCATAGCTCACAGCAACCTCAGACCCCTGAGCTCAAGAGGTCCTCCTACCTTAGCCTCCCAAGTAGCTGGCACTGCAGGCACCCACCATGACACCCAGCTAGTTTTTCTATTTTTAGTAGAGACAAGGGTCTCACTCTGGCTGGTCTCGAGCTCATCCACTCATACCATCCACCTGCCTCACCCTCTCAGAGTGTTAGGATAACAGGCGTGAGCCACCATGCACAGGCTCAGGGACCATACTTTGATAACCCTTAATATAGAGTGTCAGAACAAAATAGTCACAATGACAATGAGAAAGAGAAAAGGGCCAGGGAGAGATAGATAGCGGGGGAGGTAGTGTGCATTTTTCTCCTGCATTTAAATACAGGTATAATACTCCCTTAACTGAGAATTAAAAATACAAAACAGAGCATTTGTCTCTGCCTCTTCTAGGGAGGTTGAGGATCTTGAACCAAGGTGCCACCATGAGGAATAGCAGGGCCATGTCACACCTTTGCACTCTGTATCCAGAATTCCCATACCCTCCCGGGTGGCAGAGAACTGAGGCCACCTACCCAACCTCTAGGACAGTGTGCCCAGATGTGCTCCGTGCCTTACCTGTGTTCTTATTTAATGCAGTTTACAAATAGAAAACGTACCTGCCTAATACACATTTTAAAAAACAAAAGAAAACAAAAATATACCAAAATGTTAGCAGTGGTTACCCTTTGGGGGTGGGGTGATGGTTATTTTTATTTTCCTCTTTATATGTCCTCCGCTATATTTTCCAAATTTTTTCAACAATGTAATGAACATGACCAGAAACTGGATTCCAGTCTATGGCTCATGATGCTGGTGCCTTGGACTGTGAGAGAGAAGAAGGAATCTTTGCTGTTATACTTCTGTTCTTTCTCTCCACTCTCCTTCTGCCTTCCACTCCCCAGTCCCTCCCGCTCCCCAGTGCACCCTGTTGCTTACAGTGGCCCAGTGCCGGGCTGTGTGTAAGTTGTGAGTGGTTCTCTCCCTCTGTCCCTGTCTGTCTTGCTCTCTCCCATAGCCAAGATCTTGGGAAAGGTGGGAGAGAGCCTCAGCCGGATCTGCTGTGTGCGCCCACCAGTGGAGCGCTTCACTTTTGTAGGTAAGAGTTGAACCTTCTTTCCCAGTCCCGTTTCTTTTCTTTCCCTCCTCCCATTATTCATTCAGCAAATACTCCAAGCACCAGAGCTATGGTTTCAGAGTTTGTGCACTCTCCAAATTCATATGTTAACATCCTAACCAAGGTGAAAGCGTTAGGAAGTGGGGCCTTTAGGAGGCAATCAGGTCATGAGGTTGGAGCTCCTGTGAATGAGATTAGTGCCCTTATAAAAGAGACATCAGGGAACTAACCAGTCCCTTCAACTATGTGAGGACACAGTGGGAAGGAGCCACTTATGAACCAGGAAACAGGTCCTCACCACACATGAGATCTACCAATGCCTTGATCTTGGACTTGAAGCCTCCAGAATTGTGAAAAATAAATTTCTGCTGTTTGTGAGTCACCCAGACTGTGACATTTTTTTATAGACCCCCCCACACACACACACACATGGACTAGAGCAGTGACTGAAAGAGATTGGCGGTAAATAGGAGTGGCCCTAGGACTACGATGCCAAACTATGACATGAGAGTCCAGGTTCATGTTCAACCTGCTCTGAGCTGCCTGGGAGACATCCATCCTGTTGTCTCTCTCCTCCCAAGGCTGTGCCCAGAACCCTCCCGTCCTATCACTCTGTCTCAGGTGGTGTTTGTGCTCCTGCCAAGAGGCAGTGCTCTTTCCTTCCTTCCCTGTGGTTCTTGGCTGCTCCCCAAGAACTCGGCATGAAGAGAGTATGAGAGTCCCAGGGCGCTTTCTCCTACAGACCCCAAATTCAGTCCAGGAGCTGAAAGCCTGGACCTCATTCCCTTTACTCTTTGGACAAATGTCACCTGCCATTTCTGAGATTTCAAGTTTCAGGCATCTTGGAAAGAAACTGAGAGTGATGGCTGAGGAGGAGAGAGGCAGGGACTAGATGACATTTTCATGGTTTTGTCTATGTGCACACCCCTGTGCACCCCCATGTCAGTGTTGCACACTTACAAGAAAGTCAAAAGCTTTGCCTTTTACATTGTCCTGTAGGCTCTTGCTACATCCTGCCATGGGAAAAATCTCAATACTCCCAGTTTTGCTTGTTCTTTAAACCAGGTAACCCTTAAGGAGAGAGGGCCACTCTGGTAACTCCAAAGCCATCCCTCTAGGCTTTGAGGATGTTGCTCTTGTGGGCAGCCTCCCTAAGATACAGAAACAGAAGGCACTCAGCGTGAGTGTGCCTGTCATTGATTCCCCAGTGAGGCTGTCTGATTCTGAAAGTCGCAGAAACATGAAGCCCTGGAATGGGAGAAGATGCTCCTTCTCCATTTGAGGCTGGACAGTGCTCTCTGTTCACTTTCTTCAGACATCCTGTGCAGGGAGGCACACACCCCGCACCCACCCACCCCACCCCATCCAACCACTCCAACTGAGAAGGCCCTTAGGCAGACCACCTGTCGGGCACCCAGAAGCCAGCTCGCTGATGTGTCTGCATTCCCTTTCCTCCTTAGATGAGAATGCCAATCTGGGCACAGTGATGCGGTACGAGGAGATCGGTGAGTGGAACTGTACAGGTGGAGACAATGGGGCCACTTGCCTGCATCACAGGCAGCATGGGGGCGGGGGGAGAGGCATGAAGAGCTTAGGCTGTGTTTGCAGCAGGGTCTGCCCTCAGAGGGTGATGGTTCCCAAGCTAAGTTGTATTCCTGCTCAACTTCCCTTGGACAGCTCCTAACTGGACTCAGGCTGGTTCCCAGGAGCTGGGACTGGATCCATTGGCAATTTCCCCTTCAGAGTCTCCCCTCCCCCATTGAAAATCATGAAAGTTGAGCTTCAGTGCCGGCCCACAAATGAGGCAGAAGTGCTCCCTGGCCCTCCTTATCAGAGCTTTCCAGTGCTGGAGGGCAAGAAGACAGAGAGGAGCCAGAAGACACGTCCACAGTCTCCCCTGCAGCCTTGGGTAGAGGACAAGTCATTCCAGTGCCTGTCAGCTAAAGCCCTGCAGGGCAGAGGACGGTCACACCAGGGTCAGGGTGGGAAGGAGCTGACAGCCGGTCTAAGCAAGCTCAGAAACTAATCAGAAAATTGAAATATTTTCAAGGTTCCAGAATGGGTTTGAGACACAAGTAGGAGACCCAAGTGTGTGAAGCTGGGGAAGGGGCAGAGAAATAGCAGAGCTGTAGCCGGCCCAGGGACTAGGGGATAAGATGGGTCGATGACAACAGGAATGCCTGGATGTTTAGGATGAGAGGCAGTCTGGTGTCCCCCAGACATGCTCAGTGTTCCTCAGTACGTAGTTCTAGACAAACCTACCCACCAGAGGGGCTGAGAGGCTGAGGAAAGAGGCAAATCAGTTTCTCAGAAATAAACATTTAATAGGGACTTATAAGCAGAAGCTGCGTCTTGAGCAGCTGCACGATGGTGGATCCCTGCACCCATCCTCCAGAAAGTATTCTAATTTATATAGCAACCTTTATTTTGGTAAAAACATGTGTAGCTGGTTATGCCTCAGATTTCCTTGCAAAACTTGTGACCCCTGGAGAAGTTAGATAAACATCTCTGTGAAGGGCTATCTATGCTATAGGCTTTCTTTCTTTTTTTTTT